ATGTTGGTCAGATTATAATGTGGTGAATGACAGTTTTGACAACAACAGGGCTTTTATTTTTTGTTCTTTCAGATAAACTGGAATAATTACAGTACAAACACACTATTTTGTTCAGCAACTCTTGCTTTCGTTAACAATATCACAATGTAATACCACACACGGATTTTGGCGTCTCGACATGGTTACCAAACAGGAACAAACATATTGAAAACGTTGCTCGCTGTAGAGAACAAATGTTTCTTGAGAAGAATGATTTAAACCCAATTAAACGCACCCTGGCTCACCTCCGGCTACACCCGCAGCAAATTGTAATTGTCCCAGAATGACCGCAGTGAAAAACAGAGTTTAAATAAAGCGATTCGGCCGTGCCCACTCAAGGTCACAGACAGACATCCACTGATACTGTATCATGATAAATTACAAACCCTCTGGTTCAGAGAGGTATAGACTGAAAAAACAACCATCTAGCTTTTTACGTTTACAAAACTCAGCAAAGAGAATAAGGGTGGAGTGGGTGGCCAAAAAAACACAGTTAATCCAGAGCCGTCCGCTTTGGTGTGCTGTGTGAAGCAATTAATCACACAGCGTAAGTGGTGAGTGTGTGTGAAGTAAGCTGAGCCAGACAGAAAAGGGCCGAAAAACACCATCTTTTATAATTTCCGTTTGCCTCCTATTTATTTTATTTTTCCCTTTTCTGATTGGTCTCAGCACGCACAGATCCACTTACAACCTCAGCAGTAGCGACCTTGCTGAGGTTATAAGTGGATCTCTCCACTCCTGACTCAAAGCCAGTTGTTGCGTAACAGCAGATAAACAGCTTCTACAATAAATGATATTTGATTTAAACACACACAATCGGACAGATGGGCTTTGAGGCGACTCATGATCCTGTCAGCATCATCTGTGCATGTACAACCACTTGGTACACGACACATGCGCGCACACACACACACACACACACACACACACACACACACACACACACACACACACACACAGAGTACACTAGGTCCCTTGCTGCATGGTCAAGATATACATAGCATTGTGACTGTGACTGTTTAACACTCACTTGTACTCACCTGTGCACGACCCTGAAATCACCCTCGCGCATTGTACACACACACCCGCACACGCTCATGTGGCATACTTTCTGGCATACAGCAATTGGAATTCAAACAGTGATTGCCGGCGTCTACTGCACTGCACGTCTACTGCCAAGGGAGTGACACAGCATCACACACACACACAAACACACATAATATCATCATTCAGGAGGCATCTAGACTGTCCCGGGCTTTAATCTGTCCTTGTCTCTTCTGTTTGGAGTCAGCAGGATTGTTGACACACACACACACACACACACACACACACACACACACACACACACACACACACACACACACACACACACACGCTCGTGCACACTGTCAGACCCAGATGTGTTCATACATACTTATATACATACATCCTCCTATGTATGCCACTTTGAATGTGTAGATGCAGATGCAGGTATATGTATTGAAATGATTTTCCCATTGATATGTGACATTTGAAGTGTTTTTGCTGACTTTGTGACTCAATATCACTTACGACGAGTGAGCAGTCGTGTTCTGACTCTGTCTCACTTAAAAGAAGCCGTTGGGATAAAGCCAGTTCCTCCCCTTCGCATCATTTGTGCTGTTCTTTTCATCTCTGTCTGCTGTCATCACCAACACTTAGCCACTTTAACAAGCTAACCACAGCCAGGTTAGCGGATGTCTAATGGTGTCATATGTACTTAAAGTACAGTCACAAGGCAATGATAAATGGCCTTTTCACCATCTTAATTGTTTTCCAGCCATTAAATAACCTTAGTCCTAGATTGCATTTTTCAGAATTTGTGATGACTCCTGATGGTAGTAGCCATAAAAAACTGTCCTATATATCAGACAAGCCACATTTCAATGTATTTCAGTTTAGTTTCAGATATATATCTATCTTTTATTTATTTATGTATTTATTTATTTATTTATTTATTTATTTATTTCATGGTTGCACATTAGCTGTAAGTGAAGAAACAAAATATAATCCTTAGAAAGGAAAAATCTCTAATAATTATGTTTTGATGTGGTGCCCAAAGTGCGGGAGGTCTTGTCCAGCAAAGTGGTAGCAGATTAACAGCCATACTAATCTAACTTGTCTTTATCAGTGCTTTGTGTGTGTGTGTGTGAGAGAGAGAGACAAATTTAAACTGCTGAGTCACAATCACTTTAGCATTAACATTATTGGAAGCAAAAAGTATATCTCGTATTGCCCACAATTCATTTGTACGCCTTCATCTGCACACCATGTATGATGGCAGACTTGGCTGAAAATAATGATATAGAAAATGTTTTCGCTCAGGTGTGTGTTCCACCCTAATTAAATTGGTAGACTCATTCACTGCCTTCCTGTCATTAGTCACAGCTCAGGATGTAAATCTTTCCCTTAGATTTTTAGACTTCAAGCGGTCGGAGGCAGAGCAGAACATTTTGATGTAAAATGCTCGTATGAAGGGTGAAAACTGTGGGAGTGAGATCACTTATTGTTGTTTAGAAAACTACTGCTGCACAGAGTGGATAATATCACTGATGACTTCAATGATGGAAGACTTCAAATGGGAAGTGTTTGAGCACTCCTCCCAACACACTCTCTATGAGGAAGTGTTGTAAAATGAAGAGTTTAGTAAAATCCATACAAATGTTCACCCCCAAAAGAGATAGCACGACGATGTAGACAAGATGTAGTCCAATGAAAATTGGCTTAAGAAAAATATTAGATATGAAAAATAGTCATGCATGTTATGCACATTAATATTGATGATGATAATGGATTTATGATAACAATAATGCTAATATAAACCAGACAGCTGTAAGGACTGTGACTGGCAGGTGTGTGATAGAAAATGATTTTGTCTGAGCTGATAAATTGGTTCAATACTACAGCATCTAATTTAGAGCCTTGATCTCTCTCTGTAAATTTCTCTCTTTGTATTCATATTTTTCTATCTCTCTGCCCCTCTCTGACTCCCCCTTTCTTCTTCCTCTGACTGTTCCGCCTTAGCCTCCCTAACACCAATTATACTGTGTCAAATCCATGCATGTCAGTTTCCAGATCCCTAATCATCCCTTCTCTCTTTCATCTACAAATCCTTTGTTCATCCCTCCTCCCCCTTTTCCCTTCTCTCTAACCTTTCTTCTCGCCCTACCCCACCCCTCCGTATGCGGCATGTACAAACAGCCCATCCTCCTCATCCTCTTTCCATTTATCTGTATCACACTTACCTCTCCATCTTCCTTTGAATTTTTATTTATTTATTTCCTATTTCAGTTTTATACCCCTCTCATTCTCTCTCGCCCCCTTCAGGGATAAACTTTGTTGCATAAATGTGGTGACAATTTTGCATATTGGTTTGTGTGAATAAACCCTTAAGTCACTTTTTGTTAAGGTTGCAAAGGCAGTCTTAGGTCAGATCTTGTCGTGTGGTTTTCTGTAAAAGGCGTTGTTTACCTTGATGATGTGTTAAAGGGCAACGGGTTCGCACAGACGGCAGTAAGAGCCTGCAGCTCCTAAACTAACGTAACTCCTAGCTTAATACTTAAAGGGAAATTCCAGCAATTTTACATATAAAGTTCAGTTTACTCGTCTACTACTCAGCTTGTGAAAACTGTTAATGTCTTGTCTGTGACTCGTTTAAAAAGAAACCAACCCTGATGATCAGGGTTATATTAGCCTGGGCTTGAGACTTATAAAACTCAGGTTTTCTTCTAATAAGAATTATGTCTTACAAACTGAAAATGTGAGTTTGAAAGATTTTAGGCATTTAAGAGGCAGGGGAGGGTCTGGAAGACAGTATTGAGTTGCATTATGGGAAGTGTAGGATCCAGTGTTTTTGGAGCTTGACCCATGCCAGGGGTAAATAGTCAGGTGTCAGTTCTGCCTCTGTTGCTTCAATTTTGACTATTACTACTATCTTTTTTTTTTATCTGCCTCATGTGAGTCTGACAACTTCATGTGAGTGAAGAACCCAAAACTATTCCTGTAAGAATCTTCCAAATCCCAGGCTGTTTTTAATAATGTCTCAAATGTAATGTAATAAATGACTGTTGGATTATCACAGCAGACTGATCAGGATTTTTAGACAATTCATAAAACATTTTATTAAACAAATCTGCTTTTGGTGATCTTTTTATTTGACAGTCCACAAATCCACATCAGATGGGGCCACCCCTAAAGGAAGACCTATGTTTGAATGGCAAAAAGGCATTGCTTAAACAGACATATTCCCTGTGTGCCTCTCCCCCACCCATGTCTGTTTCCCAGGCAGAAAAGGCACATATGGGAAGGTGTGTGTGTTGTGACTGTAGTAGCAGGGGGGCAGGGCTAAGAGAGGGAGAGAGAGACAGGGAGAGGAGGTGAGGGAGGTGGGGGAGGGGTTTGTTTATTTCTGTTGTATTTTTTTTTTTTTTTTGATGGTAACTGCGTCTGCTGAGCCCACAGGGAGGGGTAAAAAAGCAGAGAGACGGGAGAGGGAAGGAGATGATGGAGAACGAGGGAAGATGGTTAGCATTATGAGTGGCGGCCGAGAGACGGGAAGCAAGCGCGGCAAAGGAGGGAGGGATGGACGGATTGGCGAACGGATAGAGGCAGAGCGCGTGTCAGTCTGCCGCTCGTCGCCCAAACAATGAACGTGCTGTGGTCGCTGCCGGCAACGCATCGTCACGGCAACCGGAGCCAGAGGGGTGCGCACTGAGTGAGAATGGCAGAGAAAGAGAGGAGGGGGGAGAGAGAGAAAGAGAGAAGGAGGAGAGGGAGAAACAGAGATGGTGTCTTCCCCCAATTGATAGATTCTTCTGTGTGTGTGTTTGTGTCTTTAAGTGTATGTGTGTGTGGTTCTTTCTGCTTGATCATGTGTGTCTGTGTGTGGTCGGTGTGCGTTAGCAGCCAGTTGTCTGACACCATGATCTTCTGTAACCATCTAGGTGAATACAAGAAGGATGAGCTTCTGGAGGCGGCGAGGTGAGTACCAGAACCTGCATGCTCTTTGTTTTCATTTTGCTTTTTTCCCCCTTCTGTTTTCTCACCGTGTTGTGCTCCCCCCCCCACTTCGTGAAATCCTTTCATGTTTTTTCTCCTCTGTACATTTTCCCTCCTCCTTGTTCACCTGTTCGGTTCTGTGGCTCCCTCTGATCTCATGTTTCCATGCTTACTTTTCTTCTCTGCTCCACTCCTGTTTCTGTTTCATTCCCTTTCCCCTCCTCTCTTGTTTCCTCTCTTTACTTATGTCCTCGTCTCCTCTACTCTCCTACTGTTTCAGTGTTTCTTCTCATTTCCTCTTATTATTTTTATCATTTCCTCCCTTTCCCACTTCTCTTTTCTTTACTACCTCTCCTTCCTCTCCTTCCTCTCCACTTATGTTTTCTGTTTCCGGTCCTTATTTCTTGTTCTTCATTTCCTTGCTATTCATCTCTCATCTTTTTCCCCTCGTTTCCTTTTCTTGATTCCTCCTCTTCTCTCACTTCTTGCCCCCCCTCCCTTCTTCTCCTCTCCTCTTCTCCTTCCTTCCGTTGTTTCCTTGTTTCCTTGTCTCTCTCCTCCCCCTGTTTCTTCCTCTCTTTGGCTTTTTTGTTAATCTTCTGCTTTTGTTAGAATTCCACCGTTTGCTGCCGCCTTCAAATTTTCTTCCCTCCTTTGCATTCAGTCATTTTGCTGCTCTCTCCTTGTGTGTCAGCATTTGTTCTTTCTTCCCCTCCATCACCACTACCACATACACATACATACACACATACACACTAGCCAGGAGTTTGAGATCCAGAGAGTACAGTACATGGAGCTAGGGACACTTTCATCACATTTTGGAGTTCATGTTATGGTTGCAGGCAGTGCATGTGGGCAATGTGTTTGTTTGTGTGTGCGTGTGTGTTTTCGTCTCTTGCATGTGGAAATGGCATAGCTTTCGTTTGGGATTGTGTGTGGGTGGCTGATCGCTCAATGCCTCAACAGCCTTCCTCCCGCTCTCTCTTCCCCTCTGTCTCGCTCTTTCCCTCTCTCTCTCTCTCCCAGGCATACACACACACACACAGACTCAGACACACACACACACAAGGAAGCATCTGGCTTAGCATAGCAGTACCCCTGTGTATTATGGGGTCAGCAGGCTGTTTAAATGTGAACTGTGAACCCAGTGTGCCTCTATCACAGCTGAGCCACTGACTGGCTCATCACCAATGTCATTTTTCAAAATTTCTGTTTTGTTTTTTTTACTTTTTTAGTGTTGTGTTTGGTCAAATAACTCCCACACATGGCTTTTGGGATATTGTTGTTTTTGCTGCCTTATTTTTTTTACCTTTTTATTCTTGGCCCAGATAGCATCCTTACACAGTGAAGAATAGAATAGAAGAATAATAAGTATAGCTGATAAAATGGTAAACCAGTTAACCAAAGCTGTCCCTTCAATGCTGCCAGTCGGCTGACAACAAGCAAGCAAGTCAAGTCTGGTTAATTCAAGGTGTTTGCTGATCAGGGGTAGGGATGCAACGATTATAGATTTTGTTGGTATGATTATTGTCAGAGAAATAATCACAGTTTCACGATTATTAAGTATTATGCATTAATTAACTTCACAACACTAGTAACGACTTAAGTTGATTTTTAATACTTAATTACATTAACAGTTATATTTCTATAATATAAAAGTATTATTAATATAAGAGGAACATTAACTTTTATCCCCCAGGGGAAATTGTTATAAAGGAGGGGAATACACTGAACTGTTACTGTCATCAACTCTCATCCATACCCATGTTTTAGTGAAAATGATAGAAAGAAATTGAGTTTAGTGTTAACTGAAATGCAGTTAATTGGTAGCCTATAGTCCTGAAAGTCTAGTGGTGGAAATAAAGCTTCACAGTTTGGTCCCTCCGCCATAGTTTAGCCAGTGTACAGTAGCCTCTGATAAGCACGACACTACACTTAAGTTGGTGCACCGCTTCTGTAACTTTTTTTTCGTATCGTGGATGTTACCACAGTTTCGTTCCGCGCAACAGAAACACTCGGTGTAGCGGAGTCTTTACGATTAATTAACCGTGACGTTTTAAAGCGCGGTTAATAGTGAAATCCAGTAATCGCTGGATCCCTAATCAGCGGGTTCTCTTATGATTTATTAGCTGTAAATATTGGAAATGTGTTTCAACTGCTTAAAGCTTCCCAAACATTAAAATATATTTTAAATGTTCCATTAAATAGAGTTCCTATAGCTGAACAGCACAGAAGTGAGGCTGACGTATATTAAAATAGTAATGAGACATAGTTATTTAGTGTTTAAACCCGCATTATTAGATTTTTTTGGCCACTTGGGGGCAGCGCAGCTTTCTAGAAACAACTGGCATATCAAGCTGATATGACGATCATGATAGCAAACAGTAGCTTATTTAAACATCCAGTGGACATACAGCAACACTAGCATTCCTTTAAAATCGTGTTTAGGTTGTGTAAGTCCAATATAGTGAATAATGGACTACTACTACTTTTAGCTCTGAATTGCTGTCCACCAACTTATCAGCTGCTAAATGCCTACTATGTTCACCAGCTGGTGGCTAACTTTGTTTGTCAACTGTTAGGTCCTGGGTAGATATCACCAGTGCTGAAAGAAACTCTAATCTTTTGCTTAAAGTGAAAGTAATATTATCACAGTGTAATAATAAAAAAATTGACTTAATTCAAAGTATTGGCATCAAAATATACTTATATATCATTATAATAATGAAAGGAAAAGTACTCAGGCAGAATGGCCGATTGCAGAATAATTTATATTACAAATATTTATGCATACACGTTTACGTCACTTTAAAAACCATAAAAGCCAAAAAGGCATAACAATGAGCTAAGCTATGTTAAAATTATCCCCACAGCTGAGAGGAATGGCAAAATCAGGTTTATTTCTGTGGTTTTATACTGCAAGTGACACCTTTTAATATTACACCCAGTTATTTGATCCACAGATAATGTGAAAGTATTGATTAGAGCAGCTTTAACCAATCCAAATGTAAATGTTACCCAGAAGGCTATTGTTTATCTTTGGTAACTTAATTCTGTTGGCATGCAGCATAAGTGATTTGGAAGGCTTTGAGATAAGATGGAAGTTTAGATGTAAGAAGCGGTGACTATCCAGTCACTTACGGAGATTCTCTGAAATGCATTTCAGTTCTCCCCAGGTGTAAATTGATAAATATTCAGACATGGTCCTTTGTGGACACCGTAGATCATTTTTGTGAAATCAGACCTGCCTTTAGAACATTGACAACAGAAAGATGGTTGTCTGTTAGTGATCGAACCTTTGAAATGCCTCAGTGAGGCAGAGTTAGACAGAATCAAGATATGACATATGACTCTAAACTCTGGATTTGCGACCATCCAGGAGGAACAGTTTGTTATTGTGGGAAATTTGCTTTCTTTCCGAGAGTTAGATGAGATGATTGAGAACACTGTCACATCTGTCTATATGAAGCTGGGAGACGAGACACATGGAAACAGCGTGCCTGCCTCTGTACGAAGGTAGCAATTTGCTGCTGGGTGTGGCTTCCTATTTATTTGACAGAGTGGTCAAAATAATTCTCATCAATGAAGAAAATTTCCCAAAATGCTGAGCTATTCTGTAAATGTTTTGTTTCTGTCTTTTAACTTGATTTACATTGTTGTTTATTGACTAGCTGTTAAGGTTTGTGCTGTCCATACATCTATTAAACAGACAAGGACACACACAACCCCATGCCCTTCATCCCTGTTATATCCTCAAGATGTTGGTTGCATCCAAATAAAGGCTCTCTTGTGTACTGGCTAGTTGAGCAAAAGAGTGAGAGAACTAAAAGGAAGATGCTGGAGCAGTGGAGGTAAAGGTGGAGAAGATGAAACTAAGGGTGTAGAGACAGAGGGGGAAAATGGACGGCTTGGATGAGAGGGGGAAAAGGGTAGGAGTGCAAGAGATGGCATAGAATGGTAGTTGGGGAGTTGAAGGAAAAAACAGGAAGAGCGAGAGGAGAGGTGGAGAGGAACAAAGAGAAGGAAGGAGAGGCCCAACCAAAAAAAAATAAATTTAAAGGAGAGAGGGAGAAGAGGGGAACATAGAAGAATAGAAGAATAATCCCTTTCTTTCCATCTGACAGCTTCTTCCTTTACGGCTGTCATGGGGGATGATTGTTGGATTGGCCGCTGCCTTGGCAACGCTTTCCTGGTGGTCACCCAATGCCAGGGCAGTGAGACTAAGAACCAGGAAACACAGATCAACGACGTAAACAAAAACACCTCTGTAGCTAGGCTAAATGGTTTTACCAAACACATTTTTTTTTAGCCTGTTGCAGTCAGGTTTACAAGAAAACAAACACACTCACACACACACACACACACACACACACACCTTCCCGAGTCTGTTTCTGCAGATGAAATTTCTCAGTCTTTTTTCCCCCTTCAGTCTCAAGCTTCCTATCTCATTCGCCCTCATTTTCTCCCCCACACTCTCCTGCTGGGGAACAGTACTAATCCTCTATAGTGTTGGATGTTTTCTATCTTAACGTGTGTATGTGTGTGTGTGTGTGTGTGTGTACGTACATTTTGCAGGAGTGGAAACGAGGAGAAGCTGATGGCCTTGCTTACTCCGCTCAACGTAAACTGCCACGCGAGCGACGGCCGCAAGGTAAGCGCAAAGCCTGCGCACGCAAAAACACACAAGCTGTAATGCACTAACAAGCTCATCACTGGCATTTACTGTGGGACTGCACCTCAGGAAAGTCATTAGGGTTACAAAAACCATCAAACTGGTGCTTAAAGATTGTGTTTTTTTATCAACCAGGAAAGTGAAACAAATGCTGTTACTGGCGGCTGTTGGGTGGTATGAAATATTCGGTGCCCTCTCCAGCCTGCATTAGCAACCTTTCTTTGCTGTCAGTCATTAAAATGAATAGATGGAGACACAAGCGCTTCAGTGAATAAATTAGCACTCATGCTGAACAATGACAGTGCATTGCAACACTGTCAGACTCAGGGACAGCTCTTTTACTGCCCCGTATACCAAAAAATTACATGACAGCAAATAATAAATTTCAAGTGTTTTTTCAGTTAACTGAGGAATAGACAAAAGTTGAGGATGTTCTTATTTAGTACATTTGAATTAACGAGTTGGCATATTGTGGTTCACATTGTGAATAGTTTCTTCAGATAAATTAGTTTCGAAGAGATAGTTGAGCAGACAACAGTATTCCTGCAGCTGCTTTTCAGCACAGAGAATTGAGTCTGGCACCCAAAGTCCTGTTGCTCATAAACAAAAGCGCCAAAAGAAACATTTTTTAATACATTTTTGTAAGCATCACAAGCATTCTGACGTTGCTCTTTGCAGTATTATTATTTGAGGCATTGGATCCAATAACTCTGCCTCAAATATAAGACTTAATTGATCCCCATATGGGGAATTCAGTTTACAGCAGCGCAAGAAGCAGTCGAAGGGGTAGAAAACAGATAGCAGACAGCAAAATAAGTAAACAACGTTCAAAAGCTACTATATACATGACCTGAGCAGTGTGTAGGAAGCTATGCAAATACTGTATGTGCAGAAGAAGAGTCTAGGTGTGTGTTTGTGTGTGTGTGTGTACACCACAAAAAAGGGTGAATACAATTTATGTTGTAGTGTTGCAATATTCAGAATCCAGAGCTCTGGAGAGGCAGAGTTGGAGTGGTTGTGTGTTGAGTACTGGACAGGACAGGTAGCTCTCACTGGAACAAATGCGGTGCCACCTTGTTCTCCAGTTCTCCTAATGCATCCATGGTTGAGCCAAGGAATGCCCGATTAATAAATTTCCAGTACCTTGATGCACAAAGCAGAACACATTGAAAGAGGTTTATAGTGAACTAAAAAGAGCACAGTTTACAGTTTCTTGTGCTGGTCACATCTGTGTAATAATGTGTGTGTAGCCTATTTTTTATTAGCTGTATGTTTCAATTTAGATTTTAACAGTCAGCTAATGTCGCACTCGGGAGTGAGACTTTAGGGCATGAAAAATGCTGGACATGCTAAATGAAATGCCAGGTAACACCAAAAGTACATTGGGCAACAGAGAAGAATGCTGTATTATATCCTGTTCGCTTAATAGAAATGATTTTGTGACCACAGCATCCACTTATGTGTCCTCAGGGACTCCTGAGCCTCAGGTCCAGCTCTGCAGCGTCACAGCAGTACGTCCGGCTTGTGACTGATTAGTCCCTCGGATGAATAACTGGAGGAAAAAACAAGACTACTTTCTAGTTTTGTATTGTCTAGCTTTAGTTGAAGTGCTCCCTATAGTCCGCCCTATCACTGTTTTCCAGCCTGACAGAATAAAGGCTGCTGCTGACCCTGTTGTTCCTTGAGAGCCGAGCGGGATTGAAGCTCCACTCTGCAGTGGCAATTGGTCAAACGGGTTGGGGTCCTTCTTGAGTTCTTGCGGTGTCTCTTGGGGCTTTTACTCGAAGCTATTACTCTTGTCAGAGTAGAAAAGCTTTGAAACAACAACATCGAGAAACGCAAAGTCTGACGTATTACAAGAAGACTCGCTCCACCGATCTGATTGAAGAGGACACTGGACTAAAGCCGTGGGTTTGTACAAGCAAGCTGTCATGGAGAGATAGTTTCATCTAAGAGATCTGATTGGTCAGAGGTGTTTATCAGAAAACCGAGATTGCTCTAATTTATTGGTGGCTAAAACAGAGCCCACTGGATTTCATCGGTTGCTATGACAACTGCTGGGATAACCTGTGAGCCAAAGGGAGCTTTTTACTCTGTACTCTTGCAAAGTGTCATGTAAATGCTATAAGAGCCTTAAGGAGGCTCTTTCCTATAATTATGGGTACTTGAGTGTTGTTGATGATGCTCAGCTGCAGCTTGTATCCATCGTATCTCTGTCATACCCATAATTGTGAGAGAACATCCTCTGGCTATTATCTGTGCAGGTGGCCTGTTGGGAGATGTGATAGCCCAAGGGAAAACCGTGTAATTTGAAATTCTTTGGAGATGCAGGGGACATACACAAGAGATCATTGAGAAGGGCTGAAATTTAATGGTTTATGAGAAGATGAATGCAACCATGTCCAGAATATAAAAATGGTGCTCAGACCTTTTCTGAAATAACCCTTCCTGCACAATCTGCATTTGTAATGCTCTTTAATTGTCCAGACTGAAAGCATTCATGCACAGTAGATGGAATATATTTTCACGCCAGTGCAGTTTTATCCTCGTTATGGTCTTGGGGTAATGTAATGAGGTGATGGGGATTTACATTCCCACTGCTAACAGAAATTATAGTGAATTCTGCACACCATCTATATAGACGTTAGGAGAAACTGAGGGACAACAAAAACGTTCACACTTATCATTATTGTCCTTTGACTAAATCCTCTAATGGAAAAGAAGCCACCATGCAGAAAATAGATAAATGCTTGTTATATAAATACTAAGGATGTAAACGAATATGAAAACATTATTGGAAAATAAACTATTAGTCAGATTCAGCTCAGGCTTACTTTTTCGTGGAGGTTGGGTTCAAATAGAAGTGATGTTTTATTATATGATTAGTTTATGTGGTTAAAATATGATGTAACTTTATAGTACGATGAATGTAAATGGAAGAAAACAATTCAACACAGAGGAAGAAGCAATCTAGACAGTTTCTAACGTCTGTGGATATGTGTATACAATACAGACAATTACAGTAGATTCAGTAAGTATTATATAACTTAATGTGAAGTGATTTAGAGACAGACTATGCCACAGCATTTTCCAGATTAAATTCAGGCAACCTTGCAAAAGAACACTGTTGGCCGGCACATTGAGCATCAGTCAGACCACACACACACACACACACACACACACACACACACACTTAAACATAACATCATTATGAGTGCACTAATGATAATCATTGTCAAGACAGAGCGTGGCAGAATCTAATGATTGACAATAATGATGCTTCCCACAAAGTTAGACAAGAGACACTTCCTTTGCTTCCCACCCAACCCCCAACCCCTTCCTCGCCTCCTCTTCCACCCCCCAACCCCTTCCTCGCCTCCTCTTCCACCCCCCAACCCCTTCCTCGCCTCCTCCTACTTCTTCTCTGTATCATTTTAATTAAAAGTGGCGCAGGCTCTCCGTCTCTCCTCTTCAACCATACACTCACAAACACACAGATCTGGAGCATAAATGTTGATTGCAGATGCCTCTTGGGGAATTAAAAAGCCCTGCTTGAACACAACATACACACATAGGGGGAATATACTGTATTGCCAAAAGTATATGGACACCCCAGACCACATACTCTAGTAGGTTTGGGCTATGCCCCTCAGTTCCAGTTAAGGAACTCTCAGTGCTAAAGCAGACAATGCTTTTTTAGAAAACGGTGTGCTTCTAACAGTTTGGGGAAGACCCTTTCCTGCTTCAGCATGACAATGCCCCAGTGCACAAAGACAGCTCCATTAAGAAATGCTTTTCCCAGTTTTGTGCGGAAGAATTTTAATTTTCATGTTTTTGGAACAAGATGTGATGTTTTTGACCATGTAGTGTTCCGTTACTTTCTCTAGTAACTCTAATCCTAGCAAGAGATGTTCTTATTACACTGCTCTATAGTATAGGCAGTAGCAGTAAAACAGCCTGTGTGTGTGTATGTGTGTGTGTGTGTGTGTGTGCGCGCGCGCTCACACTCAGATGATTGAGGGCCCATCAGAGTGGGATATTATTAACACAGCTGAGTGGAGAGCGTGTTATCAAGCTGCCTCTATTGAAACCTACCGCTTACTCCCCCACATACGCACACCACACACAAACCACAAGCTTGCTCCTGCAGACATTGCTTCCTCAGGAAAAAAACGTCCTTTCTGACTATCCACTGAACACATGACCGACTCACTTGTTTTTTCCCTTCTTTTTTAATATTCAATTTTCCCTTTTTATATGTTTCAGCTAAACGGACTGTCAGTAGTCGTACTGGAAATTCTGTTTTCTGTTTGTTTTTGACGGAATACATTTCATGTTTTGGTCCGTTTGTTTGTGTGTGCATGTGTGTTTTGTGAATTTTGGATCTGTATCTCACCAGTGAGAATCATTGCACCCACTCACGTCCTAGCTGGCACCAACATCAAAGAACCAGAGCTGAAGAGCAAAACCAAGATTCAGATTCAGAGAGAGAGAAAGAGAGAGACAGAAGAGAAGAGGAAAGACTTTCATTGAGGGCTTGTTTAAATGTTGATTATGGGAGCTTATCCTGCTGAGAGCACCACGCTGACTGACTGTGTTTATCATCCCTATCTGGTGAAAAATCTCCAAAAGTGAACATTTCAGAATATTTTAACTTTAAGAACGAACCAAGAAGCCTTACAATGTTGTATGCCATTTGAAGACAAAGAAACGTGAAAAAAATGTAAAATTTCAGTCTACCTTGTCAATCACTAAGATTAGACATAATGTTTACTACCAAGCCCCAAAACTGACTAAATTTCATAAAGAACAAGTCAAAAATACATTTGTTTTCTTATTTAACTAATTAAAATGGAATCTAAAAAGAAATGTAAACCTTCACTAAACTTTTTTCTTTAACGTCCAATCAGTTGATTGCTCCACTGATGACAGACACACTAACACAAACCATGGGCACGCCCATCTCATTGTAAATTCAC